GGGGGGGCTTCCTGTTAGGAAGTGACGGAAAATCTAAAACAGACACAGAACTGTCAATGTTTTCTTTTAGTAGAACAATGGATGGTTCATTGCTGTGTTAACTTCCCCTCACTTCCTGTTTGGTGAATTTCAATGGTATAGCAAATGAGAGTTCAATGCTCGCATTTACATAAACTTTAAAGTAGTATTGAAGGCTGGTCATTTTTTACCTTATTACATTTTCTGCATTAAGGTAAAAAATGCCCAGTACCTTTTTGTGTCCCCCCCACACTTGGCTGTCTCCAGTCCCTGAAACGATCCTCCTTTTACCCAAACTTCCTTTTTTCAGGGGGAGGATACTGAGGGCAGAGCAGCCATAGGCTCCTTCTGCCATCAATCAACATGTTAGGAGTAGGGGCGTGGCCTGCTGCAGGGATGTGTGTATGGACGCACACAGCTACTGTGGACATGCACGGGTGCCTCCACAGCAGCCGTTTAGCTGATTGAAGCACCCGTGCAGGGGGCAGGAGGGAGAGTGATGGGGGACTCCCTAGAAAAAGAGGAACTGAACATTGTGGCGGTCTGATATTTCCTTTTTTTTCTTCAATTTTTTTTTTTAAATTCCCGCCGGTTCCGCCCCCTTGCGACGTGGACGCTCGCAAGGGACGGAACCCGGAAGACCGATGCCGGCATCGGCCGGAGGACACAGCGCGGCTCGAGGGGCAAGGTCAGTTAACGTAATCCCAAGTGTGGCTCAGGGTTACCGCTTATAGTACTGAAAATTAACCCCGAGCCACACTCGGGATTACCGCCAAGGAGGTTAAGGAAAAAACAAGAATAATTCTAAAGTCGGGCCTCCTAGGTGTAAAAATAAAAGCCCTAATATCACTTTAAAGCTGCAGTATGAAGTTGATGCATGTTGTTGATACCCGAGTTCTTTCTCTCTCATCCTCCTGTAGCTCAGTGGACTCGGAACTCACCTCTCTGTGTCAGTCCGTTCTGGAGGATTACAACCTGTGCATGTTCTACCTCCCTTCATCCCTGAACCTGAGCTCGGCCAGTGAGGACGAGGAGGAGTATGATGGAGGCTACTCCTTCCTGCCAGACCTGCTCGTCTTTAGGATGGTGGTGATCTGCCTGATGAGTGTTCACAGCTTGAAGAGGGCAGGTGAGCCCTGAGCTTCATGCCCGGAGTGACGGAAAGCTTTTATATTTTTGTTTGACCTTCTCACCCCCCCTATAATTTACCCTTATGAGTGTCCTCCTTTTCATGCCTCTGATCTCTCCAGATTCCAAGCAATACAGCGCTGCCATAGCTTTTACCCTGGCTCTCTTCTCCCACTTGGTCAACCATGTGAATATAAGACTGCAGAGCGAGTTGGAGGAGAGCTCTGTCCCCGCTTTTCAGAATGACAATCCGGGTAAGTCTGATCATTCTTATACATTACTTGTATTTTAGGATATTAAGGGTCAGGATAAGGGCCGAGACTGCAAACCTTAGCAATGGCTGCACCATAACCCGAGGAGCGTGTATTTTATATGTGAGATTGGCGAATCTTTATCAGCTTTATAAGATGTCCTCGTAGTTTCCTGGGAAGACTGCATTGTACATGCTGAAAGTCAACATTTTCTCATTTTAATTTATGCAGGAAAGCTAGAAAGCCTCCATTAAATTTCTGTATCCTCTTTGGGGAGAGTTCTTCTCACTTCCTATCCCAGAGACACTTTAGGAAATGAGAGGAAACCTCCCTAAAGTGAAGGAAATCCCACCTTTCGAGTTGCCATTGGAAAAGGCCTTCCCATTGGAAGGTTTCCTCTCTTCCTGCTTTAGTGGCAACTGTGAAAAAGTAGATTTCCCTCCCTGTCCCCATGAGAGCAGTAAAAGGGACAAAAAGTGAGAGTGAATCTCTTTAAAGCCTTGGTTCTCAACTGGGGTCATGACCCAAAAGTGGGTCGCAACCCCATCTTCAGTGGGTCGCCCTCGTGCCTTTCACTTTTCTAGGCGAGAGGCTCCTCAGCCTCCCCCTAACGCAGCACTGTCAGTTCTCGCACCGAGCAGCCATTCAAAATATGCTGGCCAGCACCGAGATGGGGTGGGATGGGGCTATGGCTGCGAAGAAGCTCCATGCATCGCTTACAGCTCCCTCATGTCCTGTAGAGGTGTCTGGACCGGAGTGATGTCACATTCTGGCACCTCTACAGGGTGTGCAAGGGAGCTGTACAAGCAATGCACATATGGATGGAGCTCCGTCACAGCACAGTAGTCCACATTGGACCCCGTGCTGAGGGTTCAGTTCCCAAAAGAAAAGGGAGGCTAGGTGGATCTTAAAGAAAGAATAAAACTATATATATTTTTTTGGAATGTGTGTGCGAGAATGTGGTTGGGTGTCTGTCATTGTTTTTGAGGGCCTATTCACACTAGTACAGTGCGTTAATCGCACAGTCCCGTGCGATTAACACACTGTACCACGCAAAATCGCACCTACCGTGCATTCTGGTGAGGGAGGTGTGTTGCATTGCCATACATTTTAATGGCACCCCAAATGCACCTCCCACAGTTCGTTCCCCCGCACGGAACGCGCGGTACCGCAATGCTGTGCATTCCAGTGCAGTGCGTCTTTTGTCATGACCTAATGACTAAGGACAAATGTGGGTCCTGAGGTTACACAGGATGAGAACCACTGTCCTAAATGGTGACACAGGCAGCAGTAAAACGTAGACCGACATCCTAACCCTTCTCCATTCTGCGTCGAAGTAGGAGAAAAACTGCTGGTTTTCCACTCAAATTTCCTCTGTTCCAATTGGCAGATGACCCGGAATCCCGGGAGGTCTCGGACGTGATTGGGAAAGACGCAGAGCCGGAGATGAACCAGGTCAACAAGCAGCCGAAATCCAAACCCGGAACCAAGAAAACCCTCAAGTTCTCTCGCCTCTCTCGCCTACGCCGGCGGAGACACGCACGGAAGGCAGACGAGAGCGACTTGAGCGAGGGCTTCGACTCCGACTCAAGTCACGGCTCAGCCAAAGGAAGTGACAACTCCGATAGCGCTTCAGAGAAGAGTGACGAGGAGGCTGCCTTTGACATGGAATCGGATTCGGATATGAACAGTCAGGAGTCGCGCTCAGATTTAGAAGATATGGAAGACGACCACGGCGAGGAGGGCAAGAGCCCGAAGGAGTCTAAGGAAGCAGGCAAAACCTATGAGGAGATGGCGGCGAGTCCAGCCAAAACTGAGGCTCCGGAGACCACGGTTAACTGTCCCGGACCCACCACCAGCGAGGCCAGCATAGCCAGCAACCTCCAGGCAATGTCCACCCAGATGTTCCAGACCAAGCGTTGCTTCCGCCTGGCGCCCACCTTCACCAACGTCTTTGTGAAACCTTCTTCTGAGCCCGCTGCCTATAGCGCCAAAGACCAAGTGCCACTAGTCAACGGAGACGTGGAGAAGCCGAATTCTGCACAGTGTTGTCCATTCCTAACTGTTGAGATCAAGTAAATTAAGAGTAAGACTTATTGGTTACTTAAAAGAGCTTAAAAGAATCATCTGATCAAGGGGATTCCTTATCCCACAGGGACTGATTAGGTGCCGGATAACTGTAGTGTCTGGTTGCTTGAGAGTTGATATTAACTGTCAAGCAACCATCCCCCACAGCGTCCAGCTTCTCCCCACAGCCCCATTCACCTGCCGGCTAACTTCCGCAGCAGACCGATGAATGTAAACAGCCAGATTGCTATTGCAATAGCCAATAGCGGGCTGGCTACTAAATCCCCGCCCACTGAGCAGAGGAGCGGCCCTGAGAAAGTTCTCTCTCAGGTTCCTATGCTCAGGGCGGAAACAATAGCAAGCCTGCTATTGGCTATTGCAATTTGAAATAGCCAGTAGTGTTCTGGCTATTAATACCCCACCCACTGAGCAGAGAAGCGGACCTGAGAGAGAGTTCTTCAGGTCCTTTTCCTATGTTCAGTGGGTGGGAACAATAGCCAGCCTGCTATTGCAATTTGAAATAGCCAATAGCAATCTGGCGTATAACCCCACCCACTAAGCAGAGAAGCAGACCTGAGAGAGAAAGTTCTCTCTCAGGTCTGCTTCACTGCTCAGTGGGCAGGCACAATAGCCAGCCTGCTATTGGCTGTTGCAATTTTAAAATAGCCAATAGCAGGCTGGCTATATCTCCCCATTGTTTACATTATGCTGCTGACTGCGCAATCTAGCTGGCAACCAGCAGCAAGATGTAAACCAAGAATTTTGTTGGCAATGATATAAATTTAGTTGCCAACACATTTTTTTTGGTGTGCACCCAGCCACCGTAAAAAAAATATCGGACACATGTCCTCGATTTTTGTTTTTTGCTTTTTTTGCCGGTTGCTTGAGAGTGCCGGTTGCTTGAATGCCGGATAATAGGGAGTTTACTGTACACAAATGTAGCTTGAGATCAGCATCTTGTAATGACACTTACAACAGAAATCAGACTGGGAGAGGAAGGAGCAGCAGTGGTGAGAGCCAATCGTGTTTTGCTGCATGCACATGTGCTGAGCTCATCAGTCAGATACTGTTCCTTCACTGTCCAATCATAGCCTGGGGGCAAGGAGGTGACCCATCTGTACCGCTCAACTGCAACAGCAAAAATTCAGCTGGCTGTGTATATCTCAGGACTGGATGGACGAATATAAATCCTTGTCTGGAAAAACAGTCCGCATTGTAGGCATTTCATCTGTTTATTCTGCTGTTTGCTTGGAGTTCAGCTCCAGACGGACTCGGTGGACTCTGTAGAGGTCAATGTATAATTTTTGCAGCTGACCACTTTATAAAACATCAATGTCTTATTTCACGCTTTGTTTTTTCTCCCTTCATATTAAAGTGGACGTCTCTGACTCTGAGGAGAGCGTGGAGAGCAGCAAGTCCTGTCACAATGAGAAGACTCTTCAGGAGAAGCTGGAGGTCATCACCGCCGAGGGGCTTCTGGCCACCGTCAAGATCTTCCTGGACTGGCTGAGGACCAACACAGACATCATCATTATGTGTGCGCAGGTAGACGCAATGGCTGCTGAATTCCTTCATAGCTGTGTGATTTGTTCCAACCAGTGGGGGAGTGGGTTGGATGATGCCGGCTGTTATGCAGCTTGGAACACTAAGGACGTCTAGTAGCCTGGGAAAGCACCAGACTGGAGGGTAGCGTCCATAACAAAAGCGGCTTTCTTATTTTAATTGGCTTTTGTTTTGTTTTGACCGAGTTCTGCTATAAAGTTTGCAGAAGGAAGATATATTTAATAGGTTGAGGGGCGTTGGAAAGAAAATGGCCAGAGAACAGGGGAGTCTGTCTGCAATGAACCTCATGGGCCCGCTTCACAGTTGAGACCCTGGCCAGCTCTGAGTCTGTCTGCTCTGAGGCCCCGTTCACACCAGGGCGTTTTGTCGCATGTTTGTTTTAGCTCTGAAACGCATGCATTGTAAAATCCTAGGGATGCACCGATACCGGTTTTTCAGTCCGAGTACCAATAATTTGCTTTCGGTACTCATCGATACAGAGTACCGGTGCTTCCGCTGGCATGGAGCTGGCTCCATGTTGGCTGGCTTGATTGTGCTTGGCTTGGAAACCGGCTTCCCAGCCAATCAGCATCGAGCCAATCAGGAAACCGAGCAGCGTATAATAACATGCCTCCCAGTTTCCTGATTGGCCAGGAAGTCGGCTCGATGCTGATTGGCTGGGAAGCTGGCTTTCCAGCCAATCAGCATCAAGCTCGCTGTTAGGCCAATCAGGAAGCGAGGAGGCGGGTCATTACATGCCACCCAGCTTCCCGTTCGCACAGGAAACTGGCTCCATGTTGTCTGGCCGGCTTAATTGTGTTTGGCCGGGAAACCGGCTCCCCAGCCAGTCAGCATCGAGCCAGTCAGAAAACCAGGCTGCGAATAATAACCTGCCTCCCAGCTTCCTGATTGGTCGGGAGTCCAGGTTCCAAACCAGTCAGGAAGCTTGGAGGCAGGTTATTATTTGCCGCCCAGCTTTCTGTTCGCACGGGAAGCTGGCTCCATGTTCCCCTACGGCACTGATGGTCAGAGGAACTCTTCCTCTGACCGGAAGTTCCGGCATCGGGGAAGGCATCGGAGCATTTGGGTGCGTACGAGTACTCGCACAGATACAAGTATCGGTATCAGTGCATCCGTATAAAATCCCATACATTCCTATGGGGGCCGTTCACACAAATGCGCTGAATCGCACGTCCAGATACGCCTGTCGCTTGAAATGCTTCTTTTGCATCGTTTATCAGCTCGTTTTGCCCTATAGACTTCAATGGAAGCGCACTGATCAGCATGTTTTACAAGCCCGTCCCCTGTTTATTATTATTACATAGTATTTATATAGCGCCAACAGTTTGCATCCATCCCCCTGTAGACAAAGCCACCTGTTTGCAAGCCCCTCCCCCTATTTGCAAAGTATAGCGGGATCCAAAATGGAGGTGTCAGAACTCATTTGATGCTGATGATTTTATTCAGCTAATGCGCAGTCATCCTGCACTATATGATCCCGGGGATCCAAATTATAAGAAGAAAGGGAAGAGGAACCAAGCGTGGTGTGATATTGGTGCATCGATGTTTCCTGATTGGACAACCTGCATGGAAGACATCAAAAGGAAGCATGTGACGTGCTTTTTTTTTTTTTTTGCCAATGTAGCAGCTGCAGGCATGTTGTGTCCGTGAGCAGCATGCATTGGCTGACGTGTGCAGGGGCATTCCGAGGCCGGGTGTCACCCGGAGCGGGTACCAAGTGACATCATCGCGCATGCCTGGCCATCTTGGTGATGGACGCCGGCAGAGAGAGGAGGGGACGTTTACCGGGTGGGATAAGGTTTGCCGCCAGGTCCCCACCTCTTTCATGGGACTTTTCAGAGGGGGTGACACCAAAATGACGGTCATTTTGGTGTCACCCAAGTGCGGGCTGCACCCCCCTTGTGAAGCAACTGCATGTGTGCTGAGTGTAGGGGTGGTCAGCTGCAGCTGTGGGTCATGCCTGTGGCTTCATGGCAAGCTTCCTTGTACTTGTAGTTCCCCATTAGCTGGAGGGCAGTCTTTGTGCGAGTGTAGGAAGGATTGTAAACGGTAATCTGTATGTGCAGAGCTGGAGCAGACCTGTGACCCTATAACCAGTCTATGTCTGATCTAATCTACTCTGCATCCCTGAAATAAGTCAAAAAACAGAAAACGCACATAAAAACGTGCGTGAAACACTGTCGCCGTGGTGTGAATGGGCTCTGATGCTCTCAAGCCCTCCTTGGCATATAAAACGTATCAATCAGTTCTCAACCTTCATTAAGCTGATTAGTGACCTGGATACTTTTGTTGCTGTAACAGGTCCTCTTTGCCTCCTGCTTTAACCCTTTCACTTCTTTGTGCAGAGCTCGCAGAGTTTGTGGAACCGGTTGTCTGTGCTGTTAAACCTTCTACCTTCTGCAGCCAAGATCCAGGAATCTGGTAAGGTAACAGCCCCTCTAACATACAGGCCCCATACAGAAAGTGACTGTGTTGCCTATAGCAGCCAAACCTATATTCCAGCAGCCTTGTTTTGTGCCGGGGGGGGGGGGGGGGGGGGGAGTGTTCGGTTGG